AAGAATGCACACGCTTACCTGCACAATGAGCCTCTCGTTAACGAACTGCTCCGAATGCAGCGGCCAGGCGATCATCGGCACCCCGCAGCTCAGCGCCTCCACTGTCGAGTTCCATCCGCAGTGCGTCACGAACGCTCCCAACGCCGGATGGTTCAGTATCAGCCTTTGCGGCGCCCATCCTCGAACTACCAACCCTCTCCCCTCCACCTTCTCTTCGAATCCCTTCGGCAACCAATCCCCGATCGTATCCAAACCCCCGCCTCCGCCCCTCACCACCCATATAAAGGCTCTTCCCGAACCCTCCAACGCGAGACCGATTTCTCGTAGCTGATCGTCGCTGAAGACGCATTCGCTACCGAACGCGATGTAGAGCACCGACCGATCTTTCTTATCGTCTAGCCATGCTTTGATCCCCTTATCGTCATTACCGTCGACATCAGCTTCTTTCCAGTGCCTGAGAGAGACGGGCCCCACATTCCACACTCTACTCTTACCGTCCATTTTCAGCCTCTCAGCGTACTCAGGCGCGAGCTCGTCGAAGCTGTTAAAGAGTAAGCCGTAGCTCTTGTTTCTGGCTTCTCTGAACATGTCGAGAGCTATTTTGGGGTAATGGAACACTTTGGGCAGCTCGGCTTTCGTGATCTCGATCTCGTCGACGACGAATGGCTTATCATCGTTGCGGGAGTTAATCATCATTTGTTCGACTTGATCGAGGATGAAGACGGCGAAGTGCGAGAACACGTTGAAGACGACACGAGGGATGTTGAGAGAGATTGCGAGGTCGGAGGTCCACGGGTAGAGCTCGTCGGCGACGAGGAAGTCTGGACGGTGGTCGACGATGAGCTGGCGAAGAGGCTGTTGTAGGAGCTGGATGAGGTTGTAGAACTTTTCGTGGGCGGCGTCCGTCATGGGGAGGGAGTTGGTGTTCTCGCAGCCGGAGGGGAGGCCGACCTCTTCGGAGGGAAAAGGGAGTAAGAGGAGCTGCATAGAGGCCCCGTTGGCGGCAGCGGAGGAGACTGCGGGGAGGAGGGAGGGGAGGTTGCCGGCGGTGGTGATGTAGGAGACCTTGACGCCGCGAGAGGCGAAGAGGAGGGCGGTGTCGAGGTAGGCGATCATGTGGCCGAGTGCTAAGTATGGGAAGAAGAAGATGTGGAGGTCGTGATGGCCTTGAGTTGAATCCATTTTTCACAGAATGTGAAAATCCAGTGAAAACCTTGCAGGTGTTGTTTTGAGTGATTTGGCTAAGGAGCACAAGACTATTACCTAGTTATAGTGGTAGTTGTACTAGTTATATTGGTAGTTGTAGTTGGTAGAGAGGCACTAGGCGCATACTCTCTACCACACTCTCAACCACACCACCTCTCTTGCTACAGTGCACGAGGCCCACATGAGACTTTAAAAATTAAAATCTCATGTGGGCCCCGTGCACTGTAGCAAGAGATGTGGTGTGGTTCGGAGTGTGGTAGAGGGTGTGCCCCTATCATTGTTTTAGTTGGTAATATCTCTTCGGTCCCGATGAATAATATTGTTTATATAAAATATATAAAAAAAAACTTTTAATTATGGCAGATTGAAGCGGATCTCGATTGGTATTTAAATCTCTTGTTTTTATATTTTTTCCATTTTATGTTGAGCCATGGAAATGGATTTGTGTTGGGATTCGAAACAATCAAATTGAACCATTGCCCTTCCGGACATTGTGTTGAAAGTAAAAAAGTAGGAAAATTTACCACAAATAAAGATCAAAGTTTGCAGAAATAATAAAGGAGACGAACACACAGATTTAACGAGGTTCGGCAACGTGCCTACGTCCTCGGAAGCCACACCACACAATTCTTTTATTGGTTGAAGAAGAAATACAAGATCTCAAACTAGGATTTTATCTCTCTGAGATTCTCTCTTTTTTTGCTGTCAAAAACTCTCTTTTTTCGTGTACAATAAGCCCTAAAAACCGTTTAGGTATATATAGAGTCCTCAAAGAAACATAATCCAAAGCATTTTAGGAAACAGGCTGATTGCGTCGTGGTCGACCGTGGCCGTCGACCGAACCAAAACCCGAGAGCAGAAAACATTACAGGGTCGGCGTGGTTGACCGTCACGGTCGACCGCCTTCAGCTCCAGCCTCTTCTCAGCTTCTGTGCACGTTCGCGGTCGACTGCCGCGATTGACCATGCAGGCTTCCTCCTGTTTTTCTCGATTTTCTCCCTCATTTTGATTCCAGCTTCGGCTTCGACTTGGGGTCTACACTTTAGACTAACAATCTCCCACTTGGAGACCAAAATGCCATCAGCGAGTTCACCCAAACTCTCCCTTCTTCGCAAGTATCTTCTCCTCCTCGGAAAAATCGTTTCTTCAATCATCAAAATTCCGGTGATCTCACCAATCCTGGTAGTGTGACTCTGTCTTCGTCTTCTACTCGTGAAGGCTAACTGAAGTTGCGCACAACACTAGTTTCTCAATGGTGACTGCCTTTGTCAACATATCCGTCGGATTTTGACTCCCAAAATCTTCATTAAATGTAACTTTTCGTCTTCAACTAGCGAGCGTATAAACGTTGATGTGCTTCGTTCTGACATGATATACTAGATTCTTGGCAAGATGTATAGCGCTCTGGCTATCACAATAAAGAATTCCTCTCCCTTGCTTCAGAGCCAACTCTTCCAAGCACCCGTTCAACCGGATCATCTTATTGCTTGCTTCAGTCACCGTGACATACTCAGCCTCAGTTGTAGATAAAGTCACAATCTTTTGCAGACGTGAGACCCAGCTCACTGTTGTCGACGCTAAGGTATAAACATACCCCATGGTGCTTCGTCTAGTATCATGATCACTGGCGAAGTCCGCATCCACGTATCCCTGTAGCACAAACTCCTTCCTCCTGAAACATAGTGGTTTGTTCGTTGTTCCCCTCAAATACTGCATTATCCACTTCACGGCCTCCCAATGCTGCTTCCCTGGATTGCTAGCAAACCTGCTCATAACTCCCACTGCATGGGCGATGTCCGACCTCGTGCAAACCATCGTGTACATGACACTCCCAATGACCGAAGAATATGGCACCCTGCTCATATGCTCTCTATCTGCATCTGTCTTAGGCGATTTCTCCTCAGATAGCTTGAACTAACTTCCAAGGGGCGTACTAACAACTTTAGCATTTTGCATATTGAACCTCTAAAGTACCTTCTCAATGTATTCAGCTTGGCTCAATCTTAACGTCCCTTCAGCTTCATCCCTGCTGATTCGCATCCCTAGAATCTACTTCGCTACACTCAGATCCTTCATTACAAACTCCTTTGCTAGCTGCTTCTTCAAACTGTTTATCTCTTCTAAACACGGTCCTGCTACCAACATGTTATCAACATATAATAACAAGATAATAAACCTAAACTCGAACCTCTTAAAATAACAGCAATAATCCGAATTACATCTTCCATAGCCATTGTTCTGTATGAAGTTATCAAACTTCTTGTACCACTGTCTCGGAGTATGTTTCAAATCATATAAGCTTTTCTTGAGCTTGCACACCATCTCTTCCTTTTCTTCTTCAATGAAGCCAACAAGCTGCTTCATATAGATTTCTTCATCCAAGTCATCATGAAGAAAGACAGTCTTCACATCTAACTACTCAAAGAAGAGGTCTTCTGTAGCTACCAAACTCAACACCACTCTGATGGTTATGAGCTTCACAATAAGGAAAAATATCTCCGTGTAGTCCACTCATTCCCGCTGTTGAAACTCCTTCACTACTAATCTGGCCTTGAATCTCTTGCTTCCATCACTCTCCTGCTTGACTCGGTAGACCCATTTGTTATGTAAGACCTTCTTCTGTGCATGTAGCTGGGCTAACTCTCATGTCTCATTAGTGAGTAGAGAATCCATCTCCTCCTACATCGCATGCTCCTACTGCTGAGATTCACTCACTTGCATTGCCTCCTCATAGTACTCCGACTCACCGCTATCTGTCAACAATAAGTAATCAAGAGATAAAAGATATTTGAAATTTGGTTTGGGTACCCTGGATGACCTCCTAATCTCCACGTCCTGGGTAGTTGCTTCTGCACCTGGAGCCTCCTCCATTCTTTGGTCAGAGCAAACATCATCATCCCTATCTGGAAGTTCCTCTAAATCCATGTATTCGGATCCACCTGCATCCGAAGTGCTACTCTCACTGCTTTGGCTATCCTTGGTATTTTCTCTGTTCTTGTACATCACCTCCTCATTAAATATTACGTCCCTGCTTCTGATGATATTTCTATTCTTCTCATCCCAAAGACGATACCCAAACTCATCAATGTCGTATCCAATGAATGTGCACTTCTGTGACTTAGCCTCTAGCTTGTTCTTGACATGGTCACTGATATGAAGATAAGCCACGTAACCAAATACCCGTAAGTGTGAGAGATTTATCTTCTTGCCACTCCAAACCTCCTCTGGAATCCTAAAATCTAATGGAACTGATGGCCCGTGATTAATAAGGTAAGTTGTCGTATGCACCGCACCCGCCTAAAATGTCTTAGGCAGACCTACATGTAATCGCATGCTCCTGGTACGCTCCGTCAAGGTCCTGTTCATCCTCTCCATAATGTCGTTCTGCTACGGTGTCCCTGGAGTAGTCCTTTCTAATCGAATACCATTCGTAGCACAGAACCTCTTGAACTCCTCCAGCTCGTATTCTCCACTATTATCTGATCTCAGACACTTCACATTCAGATCTATCTCGTTCTCCACCATGGCCTTCCACTTCTTGAAGATTCCAAACATCTTTGACTTGTGCTTCATGAAGTGGATCCACACCTTCCTCGAGTGATCGTCAATGAAGGTGACATAATATCTCGAACCGTCAAAAGAAGACACACTGGCTGGACCCCATACATCTGTATGAATCAACTCTACCTTCTGAGCCTTAGGTGGCCTTCCACCCTTCTGGAAACTAACCCTCTTCTGCTTCCCAAAGATGCACTATTCACAAATCCCGACTTCCACAGAGTAGATCCCGGTTAGCTTTCCCTGTGAATGTAAGATCTTCATCCCCTTCTCGCTCATGTGCCCTAACCTGTTGTGCCACAGATCTGTACTCTCTTTGCTAGCTACAATTGTGAGGGTGTCACTCGCATATAAGGTGAGGTAGAGAGTTCCTAGTTTGTTGCCTCGAGCAACAATCATCGTACCATTAGAGATTCTCCACGAATCCCCTATAAATATCAAAACATAGCCTTCTGCTCCAAGCTGTCCCACCGAAACAAGATTCCTCTTTAGTTTCGGCACGTGTCTCACGTTCTTCAAGGTCTACTTAGAGCCCTTCATCTGAATCTGTACTTTACCCTTTTTAACAATATTACAGGGCTCGTTATTCCCCAAATACACTTTTCCAAAGTCCCCTGCTACATAATTCTGAAAAAGCTTCCTGTTAGCAGTGGCGTGAAAAGAGGCTCCTGAGTCGATGACCCAAGAATCCGAGTCACTATCCATAGCAAGGATCAATGTATCCTGCACGATATGAGCCTCCTGCTCACCTGCATCCTTCTTTAGACTTTTGCAGACTGAAGACATATGACCCTCCTGGTCGCAGTTCCAACACTTCTCTTTAATAGGCTTAACTTTCGAGTTCGACTTCTTCTTCACTGATTTCGACCGATTCCTATTCTAGTTTTCTTTCTTCTGGCTTCTACCTCTCTGTTCAAAGTTTAGGGCTGAATCTGAACCTTCTGATTCAGACGATTTCTTTCTAACCTCCTCGGATAGAATCATGCTAATAACCTCACTTAGCTTCAGCTTCTCTTTCCCCGTCGAATTGCTGATTGCCGTCACACAACCTGCCCAATAATCCGGCAACTGCAATAGTAGTAAAAGGGCATGCACTTCGTCATCAAACGTGATGTCTACGGAGATAAGTTGATCAACAATTATGCTGAACTTGCTAAGGTGCATTGTGAAGGACCGTCCTTCTGCCATCTTGAGGTTAAAAAGAGTCTTGACGAGATGCACCTTGTTTGTTGCTACGGTTGCTCGTACATCTTCGCGAGCGCTTCCATAAGCCCCACCGCCATCATCTCCTTTAATATGTTGTGGGCTACTGATTTGGCGAGCGACAACCGGATTTGTCCTAGAGCATTCCTATCTAGTATCTCCCAATCATCATTTGACTCTTTCTTCTGTCCCTTATCCTTGCCCATCAACGGACGATACAAGTCCTTCTGGTACATATAGTCCCCCATCTGTGACTTTTAGTAGGCGAAGTCTGAGCCGAAAAACTTCTCGATCTTAGATT